CAGGTCGAGAATAAGGAGAGATGACTGACAAGACCATGCTGGAGTATTTGCTGCTCAACAGATCCTGAGCTCATTGACAAATATCTGATCTTGTAAGATGTGCTCTCTTTACACAGAGTGCGTGTGATCGAGAAATCGAAAGTGAAAGTAAACAGCGCAAACGCTCATTCAAAAATATTTAAATACACCACATCCTGAGAGCGGCTCCCTGATGCGCCAAAATTATACACAATATTAGAATGTTTAAAGGAGTGGACACGAAAATCGCGGGAGCGAAACACATGTCGCGGGAGCAGGCGGCAATGGTCAGAGATTCAGCAGGAGCGGGATTAAGAAAACAGCCGAATCCCGGACATTTTGGGCAATTAAGAAATCCCGGCCGGAGGCATTTTTGTAGGTCCAAAAAGAGGACATGTCCAGAGAAAAGAGCACGTATGGTCACCCTAATTTATAATCTATTGCTAATCGATGTATTCTTTTTAAAGTAGCATATGGAACATATGTTCTGCCTCATTCTGTGACAAGAAGCCTCGTCAGATCACAAAAGGAAGCATTTGACTAGAAGGTTGAGTAAAAAGGTTATAATGTTCTCTTTTGTTGGACAACAGGTTTAGAAATGTGAATAAAAGGGAGGAATGTGAAAACAACATGGACACTCTTGTTACTACAAAGATGTGTTGGATTTGTATTATTAGAGCTTTCCGACTTGAGTTCACGTGCGTTTTCTCAGTCGGGAAATTATTTTTCACCTGCGGTGCGGGTGATGATGCTTCTTAAGTCCGTTTCCGAGAACTAGAGGACAAATATTTCAATCGATCGCTCAGGCATGACACCGAAATCTGCGTTCGGATTCGGTTCTAGTACATACCGGTTACATAGGTACCGGTGCCATATTGGTACCGGGTTTTGGTACCCAACCCTACGGGTCCCGCAATCCGTCCAGCAATTTGGTGCATAACAAGAATGATGGAGTTACATAAACACTAGGCTTGCTGCAGTAGTCGGTGCTACTCAGTGTTCGGTTGTACACCGATTCCATTACTTTCCCACCGCGGCCCCATCCCCAACCCCACTGTCATTTTTCTTTTTTATAGAAATAAAAATCATTTAGTTCAAATGGAAAACGTACCTACACTAAATTGAAAGCTTCTGCTCTGCTCCATACAGCCAGGGTTGCCAGGTCTGTGTGACAAAACTAAACCATGCCAGTCAAAAACAGCCCAAAATATGTCCTTTCCATACCTAAAACACATTTTACGGTCAATGTTATGCACACTGATCATAAGCACAGCTCAAAGGCTTCCTACCAGTGGCCCTCCTTCACAAACCTTAACATTTAGGCAATTTTATAGGTAGAATGCCATGCATTTCAGTCAAATGTAATTTATGCACTATTTCAAACCTTTAACCCGCAGGGGAAAAATCTACGGAGCCCCTAAAGGGACCTTTCCAAAAATAAAAAAATACACAAACTATGGCGTGTGCATGAGAAACCCAGTTTTTTTTTTTGTTGGGGTTCCCCTAGTAAAATTCACATTCCCGGGGATAAATGTCACGTTATTGGGGTCGCTTCAACCCGCGGACATGAAAAACAAACAACCCTCAGCAACAGTGTTAAAGTAGACCAAAATACCATGGACTTGGCAACGCTGCAAGTGACAGATTTCAGCTGCAGCTTCAGTCTCTATTTATTCATTTATTTTATAGCCGAGTGTCCACCAAAGCGTTTTCCCCCGAGGCTGGCATATTTTTTCATTTGTTTTAAAGCGCTTGGGCATTTTTTCTCGACACAGAGAGTTGAAGAAGCAGCACTCATCACGGTCACTTTTTAGTCAGCTGACCAATCACAGTGAAGGAGGGGCGGGACTAATAAAGTCCAAAAGTCACGCTTGTATTATGACTGGACAACAATGGAGAAGTTAATATTGCTCGTCTCCGAGTATTTATGTCTTTTACTAGATGGAATTGCTGGGCTACATATTGTTGTTATGAAAAATAATGCTTGGAGAAACATTTCATTCTCGATGCATCTGCCATATTACTTCAGCGGATATTCCGTATCATAGCAACCGCAGCATCTCTACTGAAAAAATGCTAAAAATGCTTCGGTGGACACGCAGCCTACGGCGGGACGCTTCGGATTCTAGAGAGCATTTGATTGGACAGAAAATGTGATGAGAAGCAGAAGTGCAGGGTGACGTCCTCAAAATCTTTGATCCATATTGGCTGATGTTAGAATCTGTAAGTTTTGAAGCACACTAGACTAGATTATTTATAGATAACCATAAGGCTAAAATATTCACACTGAACTAAAAGCCAAAAAACTTTTGAAACTTTCATGAGGACTTTAACATCACATCGGCATGTTCATGGTTCTCTGATGCTGGTTAGTGGTCGAAAGACGTATAAACAAATAAAATCTTGATTTAGTAATTTTTCTTTTTAAAACAAAAATAATGTTTTATTTAATTTTAAATGTGTATGGTTTAATCAGTAGCTTTTCATCAACTCGACTCGAGCTCAATTGAACACTATTGTCAACTGTAGAGCTGCTTATCGCTGAATTAAACTTGTTTTGATGAACTTTACACAGTTTATTACTGTGAAATTATCTTTCAATCAAAGCCACATGTTATCAGTGTATGTTTCTTGGGCATCAAACCCATGATCTTAATGTTGTTCCAGCAGACGAGTGTAGGGCTGGGCGATATTGCCAAAAGTATTATTACAAAAAAAAATTCCGTATCATACAATATCAATATTTATCATGATATTAATTTACCATTAATGGGAAGGAAATGCTTTCAACACTTTTTTTTTTAGACCTTGAAATTGAATGTAAGGATAATTAGTTTGTTGACAATTGAACTCCACAGAGCTACCTTTTCATTTAGGGCCCCGTGAAATCAGTGTTATTTTCCCCTAAATTCTGTTTTCCGTTTTATAAAAATTTTTTTCCTGGATTCTGTGTTTTAGGATTCAATACAAATTTAGCATTTAAAAAATGGTGTCTAATTAAATGAATTAATAAAACGTATACAATTTAATCAATCTTTTAAAATTTAATGAAAATAAGCAATTTACATTTTTATTTTTTGTCAAATTAATTTAGTCAAATTAATGAAGAAATACCTTGCTTGTATGATACTCCTATAAGTATTATTATTAGATATTACTATTGTTCTTACCAATAATTGAAAATCACATTTTAGTATACAATATTAATATTTCTGTCATAATTTCTTCAAGTTAAACTGGACTTTTATTTTGACAGGCCTTTGTGAAGGTCTTTCAGTGTCAGTGTGTATTTGATGGTAGTATTTCTCAAAGTAAAGCTTGTGAAGTGATTCTTAGAGCAGCTTTGGAGATGAAGTTCATGTCTCATATATTGAGACGCAGACGCTGAAGACTCCGTGAGCTGTTTGAGTTTATGTATCAGACGAAACCGTGCCATTCATTCACACAGAGACACGCAGAATGTGCAGAGTTAGCCTATTAGCCACAAGCTAATCTTTATTGTATTACATTTTATCGCGACTCAATTTGACATCGTTTTATCGCCCAGCCCTAGTCGAGTGAGTTATTTCTGTAAGTCTTGATTATGTTTCTCTCTTAGGTCTCCTGCTTTGACTTGTCTTCATCTGTCAGCCAGTAAGTTCAGCGATGTTCCCTCATCCTCGTCCGGAGGAATAGCAGGCTTCCTGTCCAGTGACGCACCTTCAACACAATCGCGTCTAACCTCTACACAAACCCCCAAAACACAGCCGAGCCCCAAGAGCCCGGGGGCCATCCAGTCTCTGTTTGAGAAAGCCGCTGAGAAGAAGAAACAGCGAGTGGAGGAAGGTAGTAAAGATGAACATGTGTCATCCAGTCTTCCTCAGAAAGCCACTGGCATCTCTTCCTTCTTCCAGAGAAAGAAGCTTCAGCTGGCAGACAGCAGCTCCGTACTGGCTGAAGACCGGAGCGATTCGGCCTCTCCGTCTGGTGCGTCCCGTGAGGATGTGAGCGCGTGCGAGCGCTGTGGACTGAAGGTGCTGGTCTGGGAAATGCCTGAACATATGGACTATCATTTCGCTCTGGACTTGCAGAAGTCGTTCTCGTCCTCCTCGGCCTCCAGCGACGGGCCCGTGACGGCCGGAGCGCCGCAGTCGTCCCGTGAGAAGAGCAGGACGAAGACTCGGAGCGGCCCGCATTTGTGCTCCGTGACACATGTCTGTGTTGATTAGGATCATCCGGAGGCAGACCGGTTTTATTTTTTTGATAGAAACCATGATGCCATCTTTCTGAACAGGACGTCCAGGACCTCCGGCAGAAAAAGAGGAAGATTAAAGCATGCATGTTTCATAGTACACATGCTTTCTAAGTGCCCTCTGACCATAGAAGCCAGTCCCATCTGAAGATCCATTGATACAGATATCAATATTTTGTACTTTTAAAAAGCATGCACTTGAACTTACATATACTTTCCTGCAGGGGAGAGCAGTGTGTTCAAAACTGTTCCTTTCAGCAAAATTAAATGGTTATTATTTATGGAATGAATTACGAGTGGCCACATCCTTCCCCCGTCAAAGAAACTCTTCTCATGCGGGAGATATGTTGATGCGTGGTGATGCTTGGCACTTTTTTTTTTTCATTTTTCCCTTTCACATATTTTAGTAATCATCATAAATCAGATATCATTTGAAACCTTATAAACTCAAAATTCAACCATTCTGAAATCGGACATTGCGTTACTATCTTTTAGTGGTCTCCCTCCCCTTGGTGGGCGGTGTCAAGTGTCATTTTACAAAATGTATTACGATCAGAACTTTTTACAATCTTGACAAAATGCATATAGTTGGAAAGGTCTGAATGTATAAATTTGCGACTGGAAAATGCATAAAAAAATTCACAGGAGTTTGGGTGTCACCTGGTGGCTATTTTTGGTATAACACCTAAATAAAATCTCACAGAAACCCTTTTTTTCATATATCAACTTCAAATTTGGAACATAACTTATATAGACACATGGCTATAATTTTACATCAATTTTGGATTAAAATATTTTGTCAAATTTATTTTATATAACATTTTTTAAAATTGTACAGTACATGTACATCTTTACAGCAAACTTAGACTTTCATTTTCTGAAATGCTTTCACTTCTGCAATAATCTGCTGATTGTCTTCTTTAAAAAGAGGCCAACCTTAGGTCTGTATTCCAAAGCATTCATGAATTATAATTTAAGTTCTGATAGTTCACTTTCACGTCGATTTTCAAAAAGTGACAGTTTTGGGGTTAAGGACGCAGCTTTATTAGGCTGCTGTCACTTTGTCACAAATCCATTATACTGATAAATGCTGTGTTTAAGTCATGTCACAAAGATTATATACACAAGTTGAATGCACATGAATGTCACCACAAAATTGAAATTATGATTGGGAAACTTTCGTTAAGCCCTGAGTTTTCAGGTTGGGGGCATATGAGTGATAAAACGTGTCTGACCCAACAGAAAATAGTATTACACAATGATAGTATTGTGATAGTATTATACAATTACAATACAATATTTAGACCTAATGGTTCAATTATCAGCATTAACTGCTGTAATATACTTAAATTAGTCATTTTGTCAATGTGGAGTTGAAAAACCTTGTTGAATTTTATGTAGAAAATGTCCGACCAAATGACATGAATGAATGAGTGCGTACTGGACGTCATAATTACGACTACCAAACTCATTATATGAACTTCTCAAGAGGACTGTAATCAACACATCCGAATTCCTCTCAGCTGTTTGTTCACTTTGGACATAACTGACTATGTTTACTATGTTTATGTGCAATAAATTGCCTTTCAGTGTGCAGTAACGGTTAGGGCTGGGTAAAAAATATTGATATCTCGATTTTAATCGATTTTCATTTTTACGAAACGATATCGATTCTTAAATCCCAAGAATCGATTAGTCTAGCCTGTTTTCAGTTAATGGACGGAACGTAGAAGCACACTTCCCATCCAATATATCGCAATAAGCATTGTGCGTTGGTACTTGAAACAAAGTCTCAGATTTCAATTTATGTCCATTGTATTGCAGTATTCAAACAATAAATGCCGTTTTGGTGCTGTTTAATGTGGAGTGACAGATCGCTGTAACGCTTCAGTGAACTGACCATCTCCTCCACATTAATACCAGCTTCAGCACAAAATAAACATGACTAAACATCCGAAGGCAAGTTAAAAGAAAGAGTACAACTTTACAATCCATATCCTGTCTCATGTAATCGCTCAATCAGTGTTTCAGCCGCGCAAAGACATCAATATAACGGCTTGTGAACAATGTCACGTAACGTCACATTTACCTCAGAAAAACATATTCGGTGACCATAAACTCATTAGTCAGATAGAAAGATAAACTGTAGAGAGGGCATTTTGCTAAATATATGCACCATATAACATTCATTATTGTTCTTTAATGTTTTGTTTTAATTTTTTCAACAAAAAAAAAAACTAAAACTAACTGCAGTAACTGTAACTTTATTATTTAAAAAAACTTAAGTGTAATTTTAACAAATCAGTCAATTTTAACCTTCAATATTATATTAATGTAGTACCAACTGACTCTCATGTATATTTTACAGCATTAGTTGAGAGATTTTATTCCTTGAGAAAATTTGGCATGTACAGTACCTGATATATATCCTAAATAATCGATATTGAATCGCAAGCTTGTGAATGAGAATCGAATCGAATCGTGAAATTGGTGTCAAAACCCAGCCCTAGTAACGGTCCATACGCAAGTTAGCTAATGTCTAACAAACTATTCATTGATATGAGACCCCAGCATGTCTGAAAGATAGATAATTGTTTATCTGTAAAGACAGACAAGTAAAATAAAAATTAAAAAGTCTAGCAGGACAGACCAACAGACAAACAGCTAATGAGCTGGTTATCTATCTAGCTAGATATTTACCATATAACTATAAACTATGATAAAAATTCATCAGCATGCATTGATTAATGCCATGTTGTAGCAAAAAAATTAAAAAAACTGCGACCAAATGATGTCCTCTCCAATAACGTACCCATACAGCACACAAAAGTTATGACAAAATGATATCCCAATATATAATTTCATGATGATAGATTTCCCAGGATTCTGCAATGTCTATTTTAAAAATCATATTTGTATTAAGTCTCTGCATTGTTCCAAAGACGGCTCTAGTTCTCAACTGAACGTGCGGGAGAAGCATCACTAAATTTGGTCAAAAAAAACTTGTTAAAATCTAAATTTTTCTATATTAATTCGTGCATTTTTCAAATGTTTATTAAAAGTGCAAAAATTTACAAAAATGTGAAAAGAAGTCAATATTTTACTTTTTCGGGCAGCATTTTGTGTACACGGTTCTAATTTCAATTTTGGTTTTCAGCATAGCATTTAAAAATACAATAACCGTTCTTTTTTCGTTTTTTCCGTCATGGTTAAAAAATTAAAAACGAATGGAAGCAAAAGTACATGGACCAATATTGCATTGCTAAGAACTTAATTTAGACTACTTTAAAGTCGATTTTCTTAATATTTAGATTTTTTTGCACCCTCAGATTCCAGATTTTCTGAAAAAAAAAGCTTATTTATTCAGCTTTCAGATGGTGTATAAATCTCAATTTCGAAAAATGTACCCTTATGACTGGTTTTGTGGTCCAGGGTCACATTTATCTAGCCATCTATTGGTGCAACGGATCACAAAACTCACAGTTCGGACCACATTACAGATTTTGTGTCACGGATCGGATAATTTTTCGGATCAGCAAAAAAATGCTTTTCATTTATTACCGAAAGCTTACTTTACATGCTTCTATACCACAGCAAAAACTACTAGCTGAACTAATACAGTCAGTAATAAAACAAGAACAATTACACAAATTACAAGTGTAGATGTATACAACATAAAGTTACTAATAAAGTCAGTAACACTAGTATTCAGGTGCAGAAATGTAATAATTGTAAAATAACACATTAAGTTAAATATAGCAGACAGAAGCAGGTATTTATAGGCTGCTGTCTCTTTAAGACCAAATGCACGTACCTAATATACTGACACACATCCGCTTTCTTTTTCAGCTGTTTTGGTTCACTTAAGACATAACCGATTGTGTTTACCAGAATACTTGCCAAAACGGGTATTTTAATATAACTTTGTGTGTATGTTTCCGTTCAAAGAGAGTGAAAGAGGAATCAATCTGTGTGAATCGCGCCTCTCTCTCTCTCTGTGTGTGCTTGCTTCGGATGTGTGCAGCAGCGGTAGAAAACAGTGCGCGTCTTCTCTTTTGCTTGAATGGTTTAAAATTGTTTGAATGGGTAAATTGGCAAGACAAAACACATGCAAAGATAAACTTTAACTCTATGATGGTTAAATTTAACAGTTAATCCGCGAATCGCATGCATGCCGAACGGTGGGGTCTGGTCCGTACAGATCATGGATCATCTACGATCCGTTGCACCCCTACTAGGGCTGTGCGATTTGGGGGAAAATATCAAATTGCAATTTTTTTGACAGATATTGCGATTTGATTTGAGATTTTAAATTTGCAAAATCAAGCTTCAGCTCAATATTGTCAATAATGTGCAGCACAGTACGAGTATCATTACCCTGCTGAAAAAAACAATAGAAACCATCACAGAAATTCTTATAGTTTCCATTAAACCATTACAAAATTCCTTTTTGTTTTGGGCATTATTCCAATAGGAATTATTGTTGTTCTATTGGTTGCCATCTGCCAGATTACATCCCACCAATACAATCCATCAAATAGACACCATTATAGTTTACATTAAAACCAAACAAATTCCCATTATAACCCTGAAATCCATTACATTTGTTATTGTGTTTTGGGAGGGGTTCTATTGTTTTTTTTTCAGCAGGCAAGATTATAATGGTATAACTACTTTTACAGAATTAACTTAATTTATTCATTTTAAGTATTTGGGATTTTAAGAGCAAGTGGAAAATGTGCTGAATGTTTAATTTCATCCAAGTGAAATTAGCAAGCAGTTAGACTGAATTTACATTCGTTTTAAACGCGGAGCCAGGCGCGAGTCGACACAGGTTGTGCGCGTGCGTCAAGCCTCATCCATACTGCCAGATGCGCTTGTGAAGACTTGCGGTGCGGAGCCGGGTGCAAGTATAAACAAGCATTACGAGACAGGCTGCGTGAGTGTGGCAAGCATGAACGGCTCGTCTGTGAGAGGAGCGAGTATGAGAAGCATTCACAGACACAGGCTGTGTGTGCGCTCTTCTGAATTGGGAATAGCCAACATGCATTATAAACTTATTATTATTCAAATCACGATTTCGGTTTCGATTAATCGCACAGCCCTAACCCCTACCATCTATCAGTTCAGGCAGATAAAGAAGACTCACCTTTCCCTGCAGAGCCTCAACTGTGGCCGTCTGTCTAACATTGCCCACATGCACCGTCACCTGGAAGCCCTTGTGGAAAGTTTTGGCATGGAAGAGTAAAACGATCTCAGCCTCAAAGCGCCAGCAGATAGTGGGGTTCATCTCTGGACTGACCATCACCATGCCCTGCCAGAAAACAATGGCCTGCTTTACACTAACAACACGCTCTACACTAGAACCATTAACAATGATCCTAGTATAACAACTCAGATTCAGTTTGAAGGAGTTTCACTTCATTGGCCTCTACACTGTAGGTCTTCTGCGTTCTCACCTTACGTAATAGTGAGCGGTCGAAATCTCCCAGGGCCAGAGTAGCGGCCTGACCGGCTCTAAGCACCCTGCACCCGGAGCGATTCCTCTGGATACTGCACACCGCCAGCTCCCGAAACTGCCCAGCGTCTGTGGGTCCCACCACCAGCTGCTCGCCCTCGCGGCAGATCCCACTGCACATCGAAAAACAGTCATTACACACTAATGCCGTCTTATTGCACGCCACAGACAAGAGGGAAGAGAGGAGGACGCACCTGTACAGAGTCCCACCAACTACTGTCCCAACATCCGGCACGGTGTAGATCTCATCAATCTACAGGATCACAACACACACAAACTCATGCACGAGACAGACACTGAAAACAACAACAGCCACAAAACCCTGGGTTATTTTTTTCAAACCAAATGCTGGTTTGAGACTTTATTTGGTAAGGCTGCTGGGTTGATTTAACCCAATTTGGATTGATAATCATTCATAATCAGTAACCCTACAGCGCTAAAAATGTTAACATAAAATAGTAAGTTCTAACCATTATCTGAGTGCAGAAAATATTTTGCCTTAAGGGATGCACATTATTATAAGAACGTCATCGGAATTGACCGTTAAAAGCTTAAAATGCAAACATCGCTATCAGCCCGATATGAAAAATTATGCTAATATGCCTTGCCGATAAGACAAATAAAGAGATAAGATTGTGCTCATTCCTGAATCGAACTTTTGCCAGTATGGTGATTACATTCACTGTTTTGGATCACCACATAATACAAATTAAATATATACACAAAAAAAATGTTGGGGGTTGCAGCAGTTTTATTACATTTTCAAAGCTTTCAATGCACTCTCATTATAAAAAGAACTTTAATAATGTGTAATTAGTTCTAACGAGTATGTTTTCGCTCAAAACTAACCAAAATTAAAAATCATTTGTTTATAATCTCTGCACAGGAGAGACTTTGTGTTGTTTTCAAACAAAAGGAAATATTTATTGGTATCAGCAAGGGCTAAAATGAGTTGAAAAATATCGGCAAAAATCCAATATCTTTGCCTATCCATATTTGTGGCATTCATGACAGGAATGTGTTTGGAAGAATAGATGAAACCTACTTGAAGTGGAGAGAACTGTTAACCTGCCTGCATTGAATAAACCCCTTTTAAAGATCTCTTTTAATACAAAGTTTATTCCTACATTATCCCACAGTTTTTCAAGTCTGTGCATTTCCTGACGGCACTCAAAGCCTAAAAAAAATATATATAACAAAATAACTGGTCAAATTTGCTCTTAAGATGGTGTTATTCACTATTTAAACAACAATGTTTAGTGAACTTTTAAAAAGCAACTTCATTTAACTGTAGAACTATTGATTTGCTATTCTTCTCTGCCCTTTTTCCTCACTCACATACATGCCAACCCTTTAAGAACAATTCAAGATCTTCAATGAGGACATCTAAGCTTGTGTGAAGCGTACACCTGTACCTGAAACTCGGTGAGCTGCTGCATGAGCTCCTCCTGCTCCTTGCTGTTGCTGAGGGGAGGTAGAATATTAAAGAAGACCTTCAGCAAATCCAGACTCTCCCCTGATACACTGGACAGGGTGAAGATAGGGGTGATGCTGCAGGAGTGCAAGGGAGACAACAGATTCCCATGAAGCAGTTTAAAGGCAAATCATCACAGCCGTGTCTTCTTTATCTGGTTGGGCTGTACCTGGGTGACTGTGCAAACTTCTGGGCGGCAGTGACAGCGTCGTCTGTGGAGGACACCAGCATGGGCACCTTGTTGCAGCCTGGCTGCTTGAGGATGCGCTCCAGCTGTCGGACGGTGCGCTCCACGGTGCCTTTGGTGCACAGGTCCACCTTACTCACCACAATGAAGATGGGCACCTTCAGCGCCATGGCCAGACCCAGGTGCTCTCGCGTCGTCCCCGCTGAGGGAAGAGCAAGACAGTGTGCATCTTACATGGAGAAATGTGGCGTTTAATAGGTAGCGAATCGTTTGTGGGGATACCAAAAGCTTCAGAGAACAAGGAGCCAGGTAATAGAGTTGTAAACTCTGATCTGGTCAGTATTGCAAGTTTACAAACTTTAATCTCAGCCTCAGATGGTTCACCGACTGACTGTCTGAAACAAATTAGACACAAAAAAACTGGCAAAAACTGGTGAAAAATAACATCCTGGGATCAAAATTTACACTTTTTAAATGAAAGAAAAAATTATTTTTGCTGAAACGATTTTTGCTGATATTTTTTAACTCATTTTGGGCCGATACCGATATATTTTCTTTTGTTTGGAAACAACACCAAGTGTAGCAAATTATTATTATAATTTCTTTTACAAGAACTTATTTTTTAAGTTCTTAAAAATAACTTATTTGTTAGAATTAAATAAACAATAATGAAGTTTTTCATATCGGGCCGATGCCGATATGTATATTTAAAGCCATTATCGGCCGATTCCGATATCTGTCTTGATAATATCGTGCATTCCTAAAAAAAAAACTTTTTACCAGTCTGTTTTGCCAGGTTTGTAGCATGAATTCTTTAAAGATACTCAGTTTTTTTTAGACGATAATAGCAAGTAAGCTAGATATCCACAAAGAGAACAGTATAGTCCACTCGAAATGTCTATGAAAAAGTGCTGGAATACACTATATTAGGCCTGTCACGATAACAACTTTTTGTTGTGTGATATATTGCCCCAGAAATAACTGCGATGAGCGATATTGTCATTTTAAAGACCATTTTATGCCACAGAATATATGAAGAGTTTATTTGCAAAAACCGATAACTCTATTTTTATTTCTTTCCCAGAAATCACTTTTTTTTTAAAATTGCGCATTCCAAGTAATATCAATCAAACTGCAGTTGGGTTGTTTTATATTTTCTTTTGTTTGGAAACAACACCAAGTGTAGCAAATTATTATTATAATTTCTTTTACAAGAACTTATTTTTTAAGTTCTTAAAAATAACTTATTTGTTAGAATTAAATAAACAATAATGAAGTTTTTCATATCGGGCCGATGCCGATATGTATATTTAAAGCCATTATCGGCCGATTCCGATATCTGTCTTGATAATATCGTGCATTCCTAAAAAAAAAACTTTTTACCAGTCTGTTTTGCCAGGTTTGTAGCATGAATTCTTTAAAGATACTCAGTTTTTTTTTAGACGATAATAGCAAGTAAGCTAGATATCCACAAAGAGAACAGTATAGTCCACTCACCTAAAAAAAAAACTTTTTACCAGTCTGTTTTGCCAGGTTTGTAGCATGAATTCTTTAAAGATACTCAGTTTTTTTTAGACGATAATAGCAAGTAAGCTAGATATCCACAAAGAGAACAGTATAGTCCACTCGAAATGTCTATGAAAAAGTGCTGGAATACACTATATTAGGCCTGTCACGATAACAACTTTTTGTTGTGTGATATATTGCCCCAGAAATAACTGCGATGAGCGATATTGTCATTTTAAAGACCATTTTATGCCACAGAATATATGAAGAGTTTATTTGCAAAAACCGATAACTCTATTTTTATTTCTTTCCCCGAAATCACTTTTTTTTTAAAATTGCGCATTCCAAGTAATATCAATCAAACTGCAGTTGGGTTGTTTTGATTAAGTAATAATAACTTAAACAAATAGGTGATTTACAAAATTAAAGTTCACTGAAAGTATGTTTTACATATTAAAAGTTTGCTTTATAGCAAAAGCAGATAACTCCAACAGTTGTTTTTTGGCAAAAGCAGATAACTCCACATTTCATGTTTTAGAGTAAAAAAAACCCACTGGTTTAATCTTTGTAATCTCCTCACATGACAATGTAGATGCCTGACAAACGTTGTTGTTGTTGTGATCATAAACTGTATGGATGTGATTACACGCAATACACGGAGCTTTTCCCGCACCGTTGTAACTGCTTTTGCAAGCATCCGTGGAACCGTTTCAGCATTTATTTTCCTTTTTCGCCCCGAAGAACATAACACAGATTCATCAAGTTCGTCGAAATGATCCATCCTCAATCACTTTTAGTCAGCTTTGACGAAACTCCTCTCAGCTAGCACGTCTTTTCAGAGTGACCGTAGCCTTGTCACCTGACCTGAATACAGAGAGCTGATTCGCTAAAATGGACTTATCGGCTTCTGTTCAAAAGCAACAAGGGCGCTTGTCGGCTTCTGCAGTAAAACGTTAGTTTCAATGCCTTGAAAGTGGACAAAACCGGCTTTTTTGACAAAACGTGTTTAGGGTTCAGATCGCGCTATATGTGGAGAATAATGCACGGCAATCAGCGGTTTTTTTTTTTAAGTGGCTTTTATCGGTTTTTGCAAATGAACGCTTCATATAATCATAATATAACAGCATAATAATGCAAGAAGGCCTACACACTTCCAAATGACAACAAACTTTTAATTTAAGAATATTTAGATCATGGAAATTAAGAATCAAAATATTAGATACCTTAAAAAACCTGAATAAATAGTAAATAAACATTTTCTAACAAAAAGTGCAAAGTAACAAGTAGAAAAAAAGAAAAGTGCACAAAGAACTTGTATGGAGATTTTTCCCTGACCTTCTTTTCTCTGTACATTAAGGGTGCACACTATTGCTGAAAAGCACAATCACTAGATAGCAGTCAGATTTGCACAAAGGCACAGATCCCTAAACAAGGCCATACCTGCAGATTAAACTTTGTTTGTAAACATTTTCTAACAAAAAGTGCAAAGTAACAAGTAGAAAAAAAGAAAAGTGCACAAAGAACTTGTATGGAGATTTTTCCCTGACCTTCTTTTCTCTGTACATTAAGGGTGCACACTATTGCTGAAAAACGCACAAAGGCACAGATCCCTAAACAAGGCCATACCTGCAGATTAAACTTTGTTTGTGGAAGCATTTTTTAAATTTGAACTAGCACCTCATGACTACACCACGTTGTGTACCAGAAGCTGCAAAAGACACAGGCGCAAGTGGAATGCAAAAAACACGGTGACATTAATTTATAAGTAAATATAATGGGCGATATATTGTGTCACCAAAAAGTATTGAGGTCATGTACATATATTGCGCGACAAGTCGATATTTTGATTATTGCAACAGGCCTACACTATATGTGACCCTGCAGCACAAAAGCCGTGTTAAGTCGCTGGGGTATATTTGTAGCAATAGCCAACAATACACTGTATGGGTCAAAATTATAGATTTTTCTTTTATGCCAAAAATTATTAGGATATTAAGTAAAGATCATGCTCCATGAAGATATTTTGTAAATTTCCTACCGTAAATATTTCTAAACTTAATTTTTGATTAGTAATATGCATTGCTAAGGACTTCATTTGGACAACTTTCTCAATATTTAGATTTTTTTTTGTCCTAACTAATTCTGGCAGCTGCTGTGTCAGTCTGCTCTGCATGCAAACACAAAAGCAACAGGTAAACAAAGACAGAGGTCAAGGGTGCTCTGCATTGTCATACATAAACAGATGCTCCTGATCGAGACGCATAGTTTGACCAGGCCAGGGTGGAAGTGACACCACGTTATCATCTCGTGTGAAGTACAGGAAACTTGTTTGGAAAGTATTAGTATTAATATTTTGGTAGCGCTTTATTTTACAGTCCTGTTCTGCATGTACTTACTATGTGCTCTGTTCAGTTTACTGAATGAAGACACTACTGTCTTGCTACAGCTGCTACTTTGGATTTGCCTCATTTCAGAAGTTTACTGTGACGCTGCTTTGAAACAATCTGTATTGTATGAAGCACTATGGAAATAAAGGTGACTTGACTAATTACAATAACTAAATAATTGACTCTGAACCTACTCCTAAATCTATTCCTAGCTGCCTTCTATTCCTCAGTACGTGAAGTACACTGTAAATGCAAGTAGTGTCAAATCAAATGCAACCAATATTGTAATTCTATTTAGAGTCACTAATTTAGAATTTACACCACTATACAAAGACAAAACATCTAAGTTGAATGAATCATACTTCACTGAGCCAAGTGAAAGTGAAACACTCATATCTGAGATAACAGCCTCATAGATACAGATTACGTCCAGAGTGTGCAGTTCTGAACAGAAAGTGTTTGTTTGATCAGTCTGACTGGACACGACAGCATCAGCTCGCCCAGCGGTGTCAGTTTGTGGTGGGACGCTTGGTTTTCCAAAACAAAGTCAGTGAGGGACAGCTTCTGTTTGCTGGTGCAGGAAATACACACTGCACCTTTCAGAATGTGACGTATGCAGGCGTGTGATGAGCTTTAGCAGGTCATCTGACAGCCAAAGGCGTTGAGCGTCACTGACAAGTCTTCCTCAAACTCAGCTGATTCACACCCTCCAGAGCATGGAAATAACAGCGGGTCACATCCAGCTGCCTGTGTGGCAGGGCAGTAAAATCTGTCCAAAGTCTTCTGAGGTTAATAATTGGGAAACTGGACGTGCTTCTGTTTGCATGGATTTGCTTGTGGAAAAGTCAAACTCAGAGAGGTGCAGCAGACACCGCACTCCACTGCCTCTTGCATAATTTAAGCGCGCTGGTGTCGCGCTGCAGACAGGGCATCGTGTTCTGCTTCAAAGACGTGCGTGACCCTCTCACCCAAATATCTGCTCCTATTTCTGACACACTACTTTCCCAAACCAACATAGTGGCATGTCAGCTTATGCTCCAGCACAAGGAGCCACACCTCCTGTTACACAATTTAGCAAGATTTTTTGCAAGAAATCTGCAAACTATCACTCATAAAAACGAACGGGTCTGGTTAGGAAAATGATATGGTTATTATATGGTTAATGGCAGCATAAAGAAAGCTTTACACCATGTTAGACATGCAATTACTCAATCACAGCCGAACTGAACATATTTGATGTTTAACACACAGTTAACAGATTTCAGGGTGATGGATTTGTTTCTTACAAACACGCAGCTTTTGTCTTCTCCAGATGTTTACTGATGGACTGGAGTGGTGTGGATTACTTGTGATGCTTTCCTCCAGAGCATGGAAATAACAGCGGGTCACATCCAGCTGCCTGTGTGGCAGGGCAGTAAAATCTGTCCAAAGTCTTCTGAGGTTAATAATTGGGAAACTGGACGTGCTTCTGTTTGCATGGATTTGCTTGTGGAAAAGTCAAACTCAGAGAGGTGCAGCAGACACCGCACTCCACTGCCTCTTGCATAATTTAAGCGCGCTGGTGTCGCGCTGCAGACAGGGCATCGTGTTCTGCTTCAAAGACGTGCGTGACCCTCTCACCCAAATATCTGCTCCTATTTCTGACACACTACTTTCCCAAACCAACATAGTGGCATGTCAGCTTATGCTCCAGCACAAGGAGCCACACCTCCTGTTACACAATTTAGCAAGATTTTTTGCAAGAAATCTGCAAACTATCACTCATAAAAACGAACGGGTCTGGTTAGGAAAATGATATGGTTATTATATGGTTAATGGCAGCATAAAGAAAGCTTTACACCATGTTAGACATGCAATTACTCAATCACAGCCGAACTGAACATATTTGATGTTTAACACACAGTTAACAGATTTCAGGGTGATGGATTTGTTTCTTACAAACACGCAGCTTTTGTCTTCTCCAGATGTTTACTGATGGACTGGAGTGGTGTGGATTACTTGTGATGCTTTTATCAGCTGTTTGGACTCTCATTCTGACGGCACCCATTCACTTCTTGAGCGAGTGATGTAATGCTACATTTCTCCAAATCTGATGAAGAAACTAACTCATCTACATCTCGGATGGCCGGAGGGTGAACACATTTTCAGCTAATCTTAAGTTTTTAGGTGAAATGTTCCTTTAAGGGTAATTAACCTAAAAATGGTTTGCTTACAGCTCTCTGCATAATAAACCAGGAGAGGAGTAGATTACAGCCTGTGGCCTGCAGTCACAACTAGACTGCCACGTCTCAAGTTTCCCTATACTTTCATTTAAGACCCACTTTGGTCCAGGACCAGAGCAGCCCTGAGGTATTTTGGGGTATGGAAGACAGAAGGAATGGGAGCGACACTTAAGAGTGTACATAAGATCATATGCTAGGATTACTAGCCAGAGAACAGCTGATTTATTGCTCCATGCCAAAAAAGGATTGACCTGTCCAGACATTACGAGGTTTATTTGTGTCACTTGCCCTGCGTGACTTGACATTTATCAGAGCACGCTTCACCGGCACTATCTGAGATAAACAGGTTAAAGCAAACAGCAGCACAACATCAGTAAATACTTACCGATGCCGGTGTTGGCGCTGACCACGAGCATGGCAAAGTCTGGACAGTAGCTGGTCAAGCCAAAGATGGTGGTCTTGAGATATTTGTGGTGGCCTGCCAGGTCTATGAAGGTGATCATTTTTGAGGCACTCTCGCAGATTTCCTCCGCCGTTCGGGACTCACTGTAGTTCACCACCTAGATAAGAACAGACACCGATGCAGACTAACACACACATGCAAAGTGTCACCAAAAACCTTTAAGTTCATGTTTAATGCTGGGCTGCATGAAAATGGTTAAACAGTTGATCACGATTATTTTGCTCATCACTATTATTAATCACAATTATTTGCATTAAAAAATTTGTAACATTTAATCAGAATTACTGCAAGTTCACATAAGCACAAATTAAAAGAAGGTCAACTCGCATGGTTTGCTTGCAGATTTAGCAAACGACTGCATGAAAGAAAACGGACTTCTTGTATTACACTTATTTTATTATATACTCCAGCTTACATGTTTACCGGTATTTTCAGCTCATGAGTGCTTTTTCCGTAATGTAGAGAGAGCGTGTGCACATGGCTGCCAGGTTGGAAAGATTAAGTAAACCAATGCGCAAAAAGTGTTTCGATTTATCAAAACAGGTCTGATTGGGGGGATTTAAACTCTTGACATCTGGCAACCGCAACCATGAACGCTTATGGAGGCTTGTTACCAACGCAAGATAACACAAATGTCAAAGTAAAATGAACTGTTGTCAGGATAAATGACCAGCAGGCAAATATCGCAAAGGATTTGATTAATAAATCGAGAGAAGCAGAAATCGTGATCATGATTAAAATGCAATTTATTGTGCAGCCCTATGATAATCCATAATACACCTTTAGGGTGAAGTTACGCCTGGGCAGTACATATGCAATATGACAGTAGAAAAAGGTGTAAACCACGCTACAACAGTAAATATATTTGTGTGGCTATTAGTGGGCAGTTATTAAAGTGTGAAGAGTGAAAGAGAGGCAAGAACTACTGCAAAAATACAAATCGGGACACGTCCCAAACAAGTCCAGGCAAGCAAGAACTTGTTATAAAGGGGTGTTAGGCACATTTTAGGCTTAGTTTGTTTACAGTTGCCAAGCAACAATGAAACTTGACATCTTATCATAGAAATAAACTGATGTGTGATCACAGGAAAGTGACACTCTTTACACTCTACGAATGCGCGCTCACGGTTGTCTGAGGCACACCGTGCCGCAGTTCTCACCTCTCCTCTGCTGTCGAAGCCCAGGATCTCAATGCTGATACTTGAGGTTCGTCCGGTCTGGATTTCATGAAGGTGTCTGAAGAGGTTGAGCCGCGCTCTCCCCCTCCCGTTGTCCAGCTCTCCTTGTGTAAGCACACCAAGCAGAGTGGACTTCCCTGAGTCCACGTTACCCAGCACCGCTACCCGCAGGTCCAAGAACTGCAGACGCGTCACATAACGTCATTAACACAGGCCTGAGAGCATCCAACACATCAGATGAACATGACTCAAACAACACGCGATCACATGACCTCAGACGCTTACCTGCTGGTCATCTGGCACTTTCCTGACGAGCACCTCAGCTATTCTGTATGGCTCGTCAGAGTCGTGATCCACCTCCCTCTCTCTGAGAACTGTGATGTCTGCACCCACCCTGAACACACACACAGCATTCACAAACAACTCTACACGCATCCCACTGCAGCCATCAGCCTCACCGAAGCGTCTCGTGAAAACAAGTGCACTTGACCATACTTTAGAAGAGTGCTAATTACTGAAATAATACTTTAAAAGAATATACTACAGAGCAAACTGAATATAATGTTCTCTGACACTTAACTGCAATGAACTGAAAGTTTAAATGTATGTCAAATGCAATTTGTGAGCGATTTTTTGACCCACTTAAGTACATCTTTTATGTAATTTCATAATTTATTAATCTATTATCTTTGAATATGGTTAAAGTACTGTGGAATGTACTGACAGGCATTTATGATAAACTAAAATATACTTTAATATACTGTCATTTCTTTTGAAACATGCACATGATATATATTTTTTAATTACACATTTGTAATGGTGAATTTGCAATTTAGTACATTTAAAATATATAAACTTTTAATGAATAATAACAAACTACACTTAAAATTAATATTAAGTACTTAACATGTGCTTTAGTATGTTGCTCAACACATCAAAATAAGTGTACTTCTTGAAAGCACAGCAAAAGATTAATAAAACAAAATTTAACATGTACTTTATAGAAAAACTTAAAAGGAACACTCCACCATTTTTGAAAATAGGCTCATTTTCCGACTCCCCTAGAGTTAAACAGTTGAGTTTTACCGTTTTCGAATCCATTCAGCCGATCTCCGGGTCTGGCGGTAGCACTTTTAGCTGTAGCTTAGCATAGATCATTGAATCTGATTAGACCGTTAGCATCTCGCTCAAAAATGACCAAAGAGTTTCTGTATTTTTCCTATTTAAAACTTGACTCTTCTGTAGTTACATCGTGTACTAAGACCGACGGAAAATGAAAAGTTGTGATTTTCTAGGCCGATATGGCTAGGAGCTATACTCTCATTTCAGCGTAATAATCAAGGTGATGATATTACGCAGCGCCTGAAAATAGTCCCCAGCACGCTCCCTGTGCAAGCAGGTGCTCATGTTGGTTATGTTGACGGAAGTTAGCCTATTTTCAGGCGCTGCGTAATATCATCACCTTGATTATTACGCTGAAATGAGAGTATAGCTCCTAGCCATATCGGCCTAGAAAATCACAACTTTTCATTTTCCGTCGGTCTGAGTACACGATGTAACTACAGAAGAGTCAAGTTTTAAATAGGAAAAATACAGAAACTCTTTGGTCATTTTTGAGCGAGATGCTAACGGTCTAATCAGATTCAATGATCTATGCTAAGCTACAGCTAAAAGTGCTACCGCCAGACCCGGAGATCGGCTGAATGGATTCGAAAACAGTAAAACTCAACTGTTTAACTCGAGGGGAGTCGGAAAATGAGCCTGTTTTCAAAAATAGTGGAGTGATCCTTTAATTTGACATTATTACAAAGTGCATTTTTAAAAATGTTCTGCAAGTGTCTCTCTTTAAGTATACTATATTTCATTAATGTTCTCTGCAGGTGCATTTAAAAAAAAACATTTAAAAATACTTTAAAGATTTGACGTACAATACAAGTGCACAATCAATACAATTAATCGCACTATTTTTTCCACGATCTTTCTGAAACATTAATATATATGCGGTACAACAAATACTACTACAATGCATAAATATTTTGCACGTATACTATTATAATTGCATGAGAACTTTCTCTTTTTACCGTTTCGAGGTGAATGTGACCTATGCCCGCTCCTGACACGCTTTGTGAGATTCACCCAAATATTTAGAGCTCG